TATTTATTGGATATTGTTCTTACTCCTTTCTTTTCTTTGTTTTTATAAATTAAATATATTACAAAATAGATGGATCTACTTTGGATTCCAGATCATTTTGCAGTTGATATAGCTGTGGTATTCCTTGGAAGGAATTGGAATGTGGAGGCTATTTGATGAATCTATTACAATTTTTGTAAATTTATTTTCACTATCAATGTAAATATTGTAATAAAAGTGAAAGAAAAATATATTGTGTAAAATAATACATTATTGTAAATATTTTAGAACGATATATCATGTATTAAATTCACAAAATATGATTGTTTTTTACCTTTATCTTTATTAAAAAAATATTGTTAACGATATAATTGTGAAAATATTATATAAGAAAATATATAATTATTATTATATAAATTGGGTGTTAGAATCAGGTGTTACATAAAGTGGTATCAGAGCAGGTCGATCCAATCGGCCGTGAGTTATGAGTTTACCTTGCTCATTTGGTAGAGTTTATAGTTTTAGCGAATGACTCCAAGAAGCAGTTGCTTAAGCCCTTTCGCCTTATAGGCTCAGGGCTGGAAGGCAAGTGTACCGTCTCGGCCTATTTCCGATACGATTCGCAGGAGCAATTGCTTAAGCCCTCTTGCTTTATAGGCTCAGGGCTGGAAGGCAAGTGTACCGTCTCAGCTATTTTCGATACGATCCGTAGGAGAAGGACCGAGACCTGCTTCACCCTGCCATGTGGTACCCTAGGAGCATTTGCTTAAGCCCTTTTGCCTTATAGGCTCAGGGCTAGAAGGCAAGTGTACCATCTCGGCCTATCTCCGATACGATTCGTAAGAGAAGGACCGAGACCGGCTTCACCCTGCCATGTGGTACCCTAGGAGCATCTGCTTAAGCCCTTTCGCCTTATAGGCTTAGGGCTAGAAGGCAAGTGTACCATCTCGGCCTATCTCCGATACGATTCGTAGGAGAAGGACTGAGACCGGCTTCACCCTGCCACGTGGATCCACTTGGAAAAAGACCGACCTGATTTTGTGGCACGGGTGAACCCGATCAGTATCTGACCTGACCACCCTCACGGGAGCTATCTCGGGAAAAGACCGCACTTATCCGGCCACGTGAGTTAGCTCGGCCTAGGTGAGATCGGCCAAGGTGAGCTCAACCGTGCTAAGCTCGGTCTAGGTGAGATCGGCCAAGGTGAGCCCAGCCGTGGTAGCCTGGGTCTAGGTAAGATCGGCCAAGACCCGAGTGGGTCTTACCTCTCGTGCTGATTCGTGAATTTAGGACGAAAAGCCCATCTTTAATAATAAAATATTCCCAATGAAAACCGTTATGGAAATCCTCACGCTTACGAGGCCTAGGAAGCCCATGAACAGAAAAGTATAAAGCCTAAAACCCTAGAGTTAAGGGGGCAGATTACACTTTTGAATGCTCTAGCTCTAAGGCTTAACCTAGGAAGAAACCCTAGCCCACCCTTTGGCCGGAACAAAGATAAATATAATTGAAAAATGAAATTATTATGTTTATTAATTTATATTTTTATGTAAATTTATAGAAGTTAGAAGATGAAAATTCATATTTTTATGTAAAATTTTATAAGTTATAATTTTATAAAGTTTATATTGGACCTTCAAATCATGCATCGATGGTTTTGCCTTTTGAAACCAATTGTTCAAGTGGATAGAACATTTTTATACGACAAATATAAAGGGATGTTATTAGTGGCAGTTGCGCAAGACAAGCGCAACATTATAATTTCCATTATGTTTGTTGTTTATTGAAGGTGAAAAAAGTGATGCATGGTTCTTTTTCTAAAAAAGTTAAGGCGATATGTAACACTACAAGACGGGTTGTGCCTCATTTCGGATCGTCACGAGGCTACTAGAAGTGCATACTCTAGAAATGGAAGTGGTTGGACAGAAAAAAATCATGTCCATGTTTATTATATTAGACACATTGCACAAAGCTTCATGTGACGATTCAAAAATGTAACACTAAAGAAGGATGTTGTCAACGACAGAAAATTCTGTCAAAAATTTCCGACAGAAATATAAATCCGTCGGAAATTTCCGACGGCATATCCGTCAGAAATTTCTGACGGATATGCCGTCGGAAATTTCTGACGGATATGCCGTCGGAAATTTCTGACGGAAAATTTTCGACAGAAGATTCTGTCAAAAATTTCCGACAGAAATATAAATCCGTCGGAAATTTCCGACGGCATATCCGTCAGAAATTTCCGACGGCATATCCGTCGGAAATTTTCCGTCGGAAATTTACATTTTTCTTGTAGTACCTTTCTAGCAAATAGTTAAGGATTTTAATCATTGACTTCATACCTTACTTAAGTTTGGTCACTTGTAACACGTATGACTCAACCTGATCTCATACAACCCATATAAAAACTTAGAGGAGACAACTTTGTGGAGAAAAGATAGACACTAGAAGGCGAGATTGAATAGTATATATAAAAAAAATACATGTTTTTAAGTATGTAAAGTAGTACCTACAACAAACAAAGCGTTAATAAGAGTGATCAATAAACACAATATTTTTATATTGGTTCACCTCAACCATTGAGGTTACGTCCAATTCTCAATCCAACTAGATTGAATTCCACTAACTTTCAGCAAAGTTACAAATATTCTTTTACCAAGTCGTTTCCGACTCAAATAAGTGTTTTTTGACTAACCTTTTCAAGTCACCACCTAAGTATTCTTTTATAGACAAGCTTTTATAGGTTCAAACCCAAGTATTTTTTTACAACCAAACCTTTTCAAGCTCAAACCCAAGTATTCTTTTACAGTCAAGTCTCTCTAGGCTCAAACTCAAGTATTCTTTTATAAACAAGTCTTTTCAGGCTCTACCCTATAACAATGGTTATGAAGGTATTACAAGGTTATAATTTTCATTCTTCTAGACATGATTACAACAATCATTTAAGTATAAGAAAGCTCTTGAAGAAGATATTCTCAAAGTTTTTATATATTTACACTTGCAAGAAACATGCAAGAAAGCCATGTAGTACTAATACATAACACAAATTACACTCCAAGCACAAACACATTCACAACTCAATACACAAGAGTCATGGGCTATGATGCTATTATTTTTATATGCATGTGGTATCAATCTCAATTTGCATAAAGAATACACGTATGAAGTAGTCTTTGAGTACATGGAAAATGATTATCACACAATGGGTAAACAACATGATGTCCTTTCTTACTAGAATGAAGATTTGTCAACAGCTAGTTAAGGTACTATAACTACACATGGTTACTCCTCATCCCACTCATAATTGAGATGTTTACCAGCGTAACACATAGATCAAGTTAGAAGACCATAAATAGAGACCTTTTCACATAAATTCACATTTACCTCCAAACTAACTATGCATGGACCCAGTCACCACATCCAACACATGAAAGATGCATAATCTACTTGTTACTAGGCAAAGCCTAAATATTCCTTTGGTTAAACCACCATTTAAACTTCCGAAATGACCAAGCATATATTGGATTTTACATTGTAAAGCCACTACTTAGACTTAACTTGCATCACACATATAACTCATAGACACAAATATCTAAATCACATAACTCTCACACACACATGTCCAGATGCAAAAATAGTTCATCTCACAACTTATCAATCACATAACTTTTACTTTAGATGCTCAATTATAACTCATAATTACTTTTTAAACTCTCTTATACTTTTCTCTAATCCATAAATTAATCACAATTAAATAACCTAACCACTTCCCAAGCTTAGTACACTTTAATGGGGAAATAACTCAAAAATTGTATCAAGAAACTTTGTCGAGTGAGACCCCCTTCACTTAGCCAACTACCACTTAATGTCACACATTGGCTATGGGATTTTCGTTCTTAGCCAATTACCATACAAAATCACAAATTAGCTGAAAGGGACTCCCCTCGCTTATATATATAGATATATATATTATATATACTAAAATATTATTTACTTGAAATCATTTTTCAAATATTCATTAATAGTAACCAATTTTGTAATTAACTAATTGTTACAAATTACTATAAGCAACAAATCACTGTGATTTAAATGAAGGAATAAATAAGTCAATAAGGCAAATAATATAAGAAAGATAAGAAAATTTAAGATTTAATTAAATGAAAGTAAAGATATTATTGTTAATAATAGTATTAAAGTAAACACAATACTAAATTTTGAGTGTTGGATTTGATTAAAAAAATAGACGTTGAACAAAATAATCTTAATGTAGCCGAGGTTTTCACTATCCTAATTGCTAATTTTTTTTAATAATTTTATTGTAGAGTGAATATACTAATTGCTATATTTTTTCTTTTCTTTTTGTATTGTATAAAACACCTTTGCTTACAACACACCAACCTCGGGTTTAAAAAACCAACAAACCACACGCTCGACGTTTCCATTTCTTCTCTCTCTCTCTCTCTCTCAGTCTCTCTGCTCTGCTTTCGATTTCATGTTCACACTAACGTGACTCACGTGACTCGCACTCACTCTCTCTCTCTCTCTACACTTCCATTTGTCAAATTGCGTCACGCAACCATGACGTCACTCTACCGGCACTTCTCCACCGCCGGCGCCGCCTCCTCTCACTGTCAACTCCGCCTTCGCCTCCGCTGTCCGCCGAGGACCGCCGCCGTCCGCTACGGCCACTCGCCTAAGTGGCCGGGAATCGCGCTGCGAATGCCGCCACCGCCGGGAACTGCGAAGTGCGGCGGCGCGTGGGAGAGATCGGGCGTCGGCGAGGGCGAGAGGGCGGGACGCTGCCCGTGCGCGGTGGGGGAATTGGCGGAGAGTGGCCGGGAAAGGCGGAATCGGTCGGCGGAGGTAGTGGTCGCCGCCGCGGTGACGGTGGTTATGGGCGCCGGAAACAGGGTGCTGTATAAGCTGGCCTTGGTTCCTCTGAAGAACTATCCCTTCTTCTTGGCTCAGCTTGCGACCTTCGGGTACTTTGTTTTGTTCATTTTGTTCGGCTTCTTTGTTCTTGTTGAATTGATGAATACGGTGCTTAATTCTTGTTTTAATTACGTGTTTGAATATGCTGTGTTGAATAATGATATATATATATATATATATATTTATTTATTTTATGAGTGTGTTGAATATCTATGTGATATTTTTTAATCATATTATTTGGTACGAATGCTTCGAGAAATCTGGGTGATAATTTTTAATTAGTATTCACATCATTTTTTTTTCTTCATAATATTCGAATCCAAAAGCTTGTTTAAAAGATACCGAGATGGAGTCTAGTTTTTGTTGGTATATTTATTTGATGTTAATTATGTTTAATCACTTTAATGTGTTTGAATATTTATGATGCTGTGTTGAATATATTTAGTTATTTTTTATTTGTGTTGTATTTAGCGTATCTCTCAAACTATAATTGTGAAACAGCTCCTTCAGTCAATCTTGTTTATTGAGTAATAGTACAACATTAAGATTATTATTATTATTATTAGTATTCGTATTAGAACATTGGAAAAAAAGAGGAAGAGAGTAAAATTGAATAGAAAATGAGAACTGCACTTTCTGTTGTCCCGGATAATAAAGTTATTAAGTATATAATAGATAAAATAAAAGAATATGTATAAGCTTATTATTATTATTATAGATTATAATTTTTTTTTCATAAAAAATAGTTCTAAAGTTGATAATTAAAAACTAACTTCTACTCGTGAAACATAATATTTATAGATTATAGATTGTTGTTATATAAAGGAGATGTTAATTTTTAATGTACATATTTCATGCCTATTTATATGGCTAATTTATTGTTCAACTGCTACTGATTTTGAACTAGTGTTAAATTAATTGTTTTCATTTTTCTATTTTACCGATAAATAAAAAAAATGTGGAAGGACATCACTTTGAACGTTGCCTGTTCTTTTTATTAATTATTATTATTTTGTTTTGGGGGGTTGTGGTTTGTGCATTGTTGCTCAATTATCAATTTGGTGGGTTCCTACTTTTCGTGTGGGTCCAAGCATTATCTGACGTTGTTTATGGTTCACCACTTTTTTCTTTCTTTTCTACTTTGGGGTGAATCTTCTTAATCTTAAGGAGTGAGTTTTAGTCTCTAGTGCAGAAGAATATTTGTTAGAAAAGGGAATTTGGTGGTGAAATCGGTCGGGATGGAATTTGGAGTAATTCTGTAATTTCTGTTGTTTGATAAAAGTGTAACACGTAACAACTTTAGTTTAGGGAATACATTCTTCTTGGATGCAGAAAAGTGTGTTACTGAAGTAACCGAGTTGAATGTTCATGGAAACTCCACTTTTTGAGAATTTATAATTGATGAAAGCTTTTTCCTACAGAAAAGTAGCCACATTTTTTTTTAAATAACTGAATGCCTTTTTGATTTTTGATTCAAAAACTGAATGCCTTTGATTCCTGTTATAAGATAATTGTTAAGCTAAAATATATTTTTAGTCCATTTGAATATGTTTATTTATTTTTATTTTTGATTTTAATTTTCACAATTTTAAAAAAGAATTATATGTGCTTTTAGTCCTTGAATTTTTGTTTTTAGTTCATGGACAGATTTCTTATTAGTTTTAGTTTATAAAATTTTGTCAATTTTCACTTTTAATCTTTGAATTTTTCTTGTTAATATTTTGGTCCCTAATGTCAAATTTTTTGTTTATGGAGAAAAAATCCATAGACTAAAACTAAATAAAATTTGTTTAGGAACTAAAAACAAAAATTGAGAGATTAATTTAATCTTTTAAATAATAATCTCTGCCACTACCTAGTAATGAGGTGACATCTAGCCATGTGATTTCTAGGCGTTAGCATATGATGGAACATGTCAAGATACATGCCTTGATATTAATAATTGATGATATGAATCATTTTAAAAATTAAAACTTATGATGATTTTTTTTTTTGAGGGGAAAACTTATGATGATTAAAACTAACAATTTTGTGTGGATTCGGGATGATTAAAAACATATTTTATTCTAATACTTATATGTCTGCTACTTCTATATTTAATTTTTTTGGCAATAATCTGAAACCAGACAATCCTATATGTTTGATGAAAAGTTACTTTCATTTTTTACCCTGATGAATAGCCTAAAAATGCTGTCTGTCTGCAAGAGTTTCTTCCTCTCCCTTTTGGAGTTATTAATGTTTACAAGAGTTAATATAACTAACTCTAGTGATATTTTCTTCCTTTCAGATACGTAATCGTATACTTCTCTATTTTGTATATGCGGTACCAAGCCGGCATCGTCACTGATGAGATGTTATCTATGCCAAAAACTCCATTTTTAGTTGTTGGTCTCTTGGAGGCTCTAGGTGCTGCCACAGGAATGGCAGCAGGAGGTAATGTTTGTCCTAAGTTATTTTTACCTGTTTTGCAATGAATCTTCCTTCTGTCAATTCCATCAAATTTTCATTGTAAGCTACTGAATTATTAAGACCAAGAAAAAAAAAGAGTAAAGAAAAAAAATCTACAGACATATTGATGATGATAATTTATTTTAGAGTGAATCAGCGCATACTACAACTGCTGTTAGTAGAATATATTAAATAGACTTAAATATGTTTTTCTTTCTATATAAAATGAGTTAATTTTGATTTTGGTCCATTTAATTTTTTTATTTGATTTTCATTATTTAAATTTGAAAATCATTGTTTTTGATCCGACTGTGTAATACTTGTTAACTGCTTTTGTGTTACAAAATGTCAAGTGACCATGTTAGATGACACTTATGAGTGTGAAATATACCATAATTTTTTTGTTGTAAAAAGGACCTGAGGTAATATATATTAGCATGAGACACCTCTAAAAGAATTCTCAAGATGCCAAAAATAAATGTTATTTATGTTTCTTAAAGTGAATAATATTAAGGAATACAATTAGTAATTTTAAATTTTGAAAGGATGAAAATCAAACACAAATATTTTATTCAAATTTAGAGGAATGAAAAACAAATTTTTTTTTTTATAAGGATAAAAATCAAAAGTTTATTATGACTAAAGACATATATAAGTCTATTAAATATTATGATCTTTAACATCATAAGTTTTTGCAGTACTGACAATGTATAGCATAAAATATCTCTACTATCAGAAGTTTTGTTTAAAATGCAAATGCTCGAAGAGGATTTAGTTTTTCACGATGAATTAAGCATATTTGTTAATACTAGATGTGATATATTAAGATACTTGTATTCATTATCCACATTTTATATTTTCACCTTCAACTCTAATTTGTGATGGTGCTGCTTTTACTGCTACCTCTTCGTATTTTGTAAATATTGTTGGAGATACGAGGATAATAATACATTGGTTTGTACAATTTTGGTTATCTGAATTTCATTTAATTGTTTGTTTCTCTCTGTTATATCAGCAATGCTATCTGGAGCATCAATTCCAATTTTGTCTCAGGTAAAAACCATCAGCAATCAATGCTTTCTTCCATTTATTCTCAAGTTCTGTTAGCATTTACATTCTAGTGCTATAATAAAATATAATTTTTTCAGAATTATTCACAGTACACAGACTTTATATATGAATGAAAAGGAATTGAAAAGGTAAATGTAAATATTCCTTAGTAATTTTTTTTCTTCTATTTATTTGTTGACCATCGAGTACCTAGCACCTAAAGAAGGATGACCCTTTCACTTGAATATGTTTCCTGCTTGATGGCTGGTCAGATGTCCTAATAGTAAAACAATTCCCTTGAAAACATGGTGACAGAATGTAACCATCCAGATCTGTGCTGTCCAAGTTGGTCAAAATAAAAGATTTGGTTTATAGAGCTTATTTACTATACATTTATTAGCTCATCTATTTGCATTGATTTATCCGAAAAAGCAAACTATAGATGAATAGTTAACATAATTCACTTTCAGGCTTTTCTAGTGTGGCAAATTCTCCTGTCATTTGTTTTTCTAGGGAGGCGATATAAGGTCAACCAACTACTTGGATGCTTTCTTGTGGCAATTGGTGTAATTCTTACTGTAGCAAGGTCAGTCTATATCAATTTTTGTAGATATTAGGTTATGTTGGCTCATATATATATATATATATATATATGTTTTTTTGTTAACATGAACACTGCACTCTGGAACCATGTGCCCATAGGCAAAAGAAACATACATGAATGAACAAATAAACCTTTTTTTGGTAGTGAATCGACAAATAAATCTGAATGGTCATAATCATTTTGACACAATTATTAGTTGTTTATGTTTTTGTTTGGGCAAATTGATTCAAGTTTTCACAACTTATTTGGCTGTTCAACATTACATGTTAATTCACCCTCTCTCTGTCCCTTGCTTTAACATGTGAGTTTAAGGGGATGTGGGTTAGAAAAGTAAAAACCTACTTAATGATTTCAAATTTTATCAACAGATTTCAGCCGAACAGCAAAGTTAAACTTTTGGTATAAATGTTAAATCCTTAAGTAATTTCGTAAGTTCATTCACTAGTGTTTTTTTTTTTTTTTTTTTTTTTTTTCTTTTTTTTTCAA